TAAAGTGGTAAAAAGTGGTGAAATTTATGTTTCGAAAGGAAAAGTGAGATTAAGTTTGAGTTTTATAGGGCATACTAAAAAATAAGCTTTGATTTTATATGTGCACCAAGAAACTTGTGTATCTTTATATTCTGAGCTACTAGAGCTCCATGGATCTCATCGGAAGACGTGCTTTGAGTTTGGGTGGCTGTTGGAGTGCATTTAACAATATTTAGTAGAATTACAAGAGCGCTCATCGCGGGAGGCTTGACCACCTCATTTTTCATTCGTCTTTTGGTTCTTTGATTCTACTTCTCCATTCGTCTTTTTGGTTCTTTGATTCTACTTCTCGGTGGCGGCAGTTTCGTGGCAATGGAGTGGCTGTTAATTTGGGTGGAGCCGGCTGCTTTTATGTTCCAAATCTAGTGTTTTACGTTTTGGGGTTGTTATGGCCCCTCTTATCGAGCTTGTTTCCCTGTCTTTGAACTTTCCTAAATCCTAATCCTACAATATTCTAATAAAAAAATTAAAATGAAAAAGCCAAAAGAGAATACCTTGGATCCTCTTCCGGCATAATCATGTTCATTTAGACGTGGTACATGCATGAAAGAATGATGATAGAGCAGAGCAAACACAGCTTTTCTTTTTTACTTTCTGCATTTTCTCATTTGGCATTATTAATTTTCACACAATCATATCCCAAACTTTACACCCAATTCTGGGCCAATATTCGCCTTTTCTCCTCTAGGAAATCATACCACATCGGCACCTACTAGTTTTTTTTCTTTTTACACAATTTTTATTCTTATCATTATGTTTCCAAAAAATTATTCAAATATAACGAACATGATTAAACAAAAAGGTATATAACGGAAAAGTACAGTTATTTTCATAAGCTGTTGTCTTATTTATGACTTAGGCAATCGTTACTTTAATATGTAAGTCATATTTTCTTTTATTGAATTACATTCATATTTGAAAAACATCAAAACGGTTTGATAAAGACATTACACAAAATTGCTCACGTATAGAGATACATAAACCAAGTGCAACTAATCAAAAAATCTTATAAGGAAACAGTCTTGTTCTTTGTGTTAATAGCACAGCAAAAAAATTTCTATGTAACTTCACCACTGTCGCATCAGTGGCAAAGATGAAAATTGTCGGAGGAAGGGACAAAACATGAAAGGGTAGAAGCTTCTGCTTTATTTTTGTCACGCTTCGTAAAAACATATTCAGTTGCGAAAACTCGTCGAACTCTTTCACATCCGTGCCCATTTCTTTTCATTTGAAATACAATTCAATCAACGCATAACCACAAACGTATTCAATGCAACCTTGTCATGTATCTTCACAAACCCATGTATTATTTTCTCATATATGAGTGTCTTAACCTCACACACACCTTCAGAGTAGTGGATTCAATGCAACCTTGTCATGTATCTTCACAAATCCATGTATTATTTTCTCATATATGAGTGCCTTAACCTCACACACACCTTCAGAGTAGTGGGAATGGAAAATTATCAGGCTTATTATCATTGCTTCTTGACTCAGATATCATGTTATGCAAGAGATACAAGGTATATTCTCATCGATTCTCTCTACACTAGCTCCTAAGCATGGCATTCAAAATTGTGACAGTTAAGTGGGGTGTTTCATCAAACACCTTGCAAGCATGACCGAGTGACTTATATAATTTATAAATATGCCTATTCGGCTCTATTCCCTCACTCAACATTGCATTAAAATACCTCTTGGCCATTATATACCGGTTGTGATGCATAACGGCCTTAAATAGAGCTGAATAGGACTTGAAACTTCTCCGTACACCCAATTCCTTCATACTATCAAATAACTTAACAAACTCTTGACTAATAACAATTTTCCTTAACAACGTTGTTCGATTTTTTTTTTTTTTTTTAATCCTAGTACCAAAATGACGTTGTTTTGGCCTGGGTATTTAAAAAAATATAAAACGCATAAAAAGTAGCAAAGCATATAACACAGAAGCAGCGAAGTAGCGCAACAGATTTCGACGGCAGTTCAAAGGATCTAAAGGGCGAACTCCTACTCTCAATAGTGATTTCCAGCAATCGAAGGGGTGGCCATCCCTCCTTGTCCCCATGTAGCCTCGCTCGTGTATCTCATGGTAGTATCAATTCATTCAGATAACACATGTATTTATTTGTACATAATATACATTAAATTTAACAATGAAATAATCATATTGTCAAAATATATTATAACACGATGATTACTATTGCTATATGTTGACACCACATTGTAGGGTGACAATCAACAAATGTCTTGCCCCGTTTCAGTCTTTTTAGTGCGCTACCGCATAAGGTAACCTCTTTTTCTTTTTTCTTTTTTTTTGGGTAAAAAGGTTACCTCATTTTGGCATTACATGCCAAAGTAACCATTCATCAACTGAAGTCATGCGCATAATGGCCTAACTTAGTATTCTAGTTACACAAGTAATCACCTTTCTTCAACTTAATAATCATGCCATGCCTCATAATTTAAGTTCATTAGCATATAGTTTATACAAAACCCGTATCAAGCCAAATGCCCAAAGAATATGCTCAACAGAATTAGGGCTACATTTAGCCGCTTCACCTAGCAAACCAGCATCAATGGAGAGACTTATGGCTCGTTTGAAAAGTGATTTTATATGATTGAAAGCGGTTTTAGATTTCAATCATTTAAAAGCACTTTTAAACGATCTTCTCAGCCATGCATGACTGGAGATGAAAAAAATGTAACTCTATTCTTTAAAATATTAATTTTGAAAGACTAAAGCATAATTAAAGCAAAAATGTTATTTTTACCATTTATTTGTACAATCACTTATACTATCTCTCTATAGAGATGAAACACACATGCGTTGTTGAAATTTATCTCTATTACAAAAAATATAAAAAATAGTACAAGTAATTGTATAATTAGATGGTAAGTATATGACTACTCTAATTAAAGACTACGTACGTTTAGCCCTCCATAACATTAATTATCCTTCAACACTAAGTAAGATTTTTGCTTTTACCCCTTTCACTCCCGTCACTTTCATCTATTTAATTTACCGGAGTTAAAACAACGAACCGAAAACGTCATAGTCAAAAGGGGCCAAAGACTTCAACGACTTATTAATTGCTGAGCCCTTCATTCCAAAACCCTAATCATAAATTCCCAAAACCAGTTGGGAAACAGCGCAAGGATATGGTCTTACACGGTAAAATAGTAATTTTGTAGTTGCCGAAATATTTTGCCTACCTATTTTTCAGACAATCCTAAGAAGATCAAAATTTTAAATTAAATTTATAAATTAAATATGTATCATTATAAATAATAAATAAGTTAATCAATACCGAACTAAAATTATCCATGTTTCTCACCACCCATATCCATTTTATCCGGAAAGAGATCTTCTCCGGATCTCTTCCACCAAGGCCACTTGATCATGTGATCCGAACCTTCTAAATTTCATCAAACAGCCCATTTGTTTTGATTCCTTAAAAAATGTGATAATTTTTTACTGTTGGATGAAATTTGAAAAGTCCAAATCATTTAATCTGGTAGTTTTGGTAGAAGAGATCTGAAAAGAATCTCTTTCCATTTTATCCATCTAACTTAGATTTATTTTAAGAAACTTTAATGAAAAGCTCTAGTATTGTTTATTTTAACGAAAAACCACATTCTTATATTAAAAAATCAATTATAATACTACTTTATTTTATTTTATTTTTATCGTTAAAATTCTAAGTTTTCAAAATTTTTCTATTAATTCTTTTATTTTAGGAAACTTTAACGAAAAGCTCCCGGTACTGTTCACTTTAATGAAAAATCACATTTTTACACTAAAAAGTCAATCCTGGTACTATTCACTTTACCCTTTATTTTGTCCTTATCATTAAAACTCAAAGTTTTCAAGCCCTTTTCATTAGTTTTCCTTTTATTTTACTGGTCAAGTAGGTTAGCTACAAACTCCGAGCCAAAGAGTAAATAATATATCTTGCAGTTACTGCCAATTTTGTCACGCATTCACAAAATAGGGCTACGGAGCCCAAAAGATTCCAGTATCCGTGCACTTTTGTCATACGTGTGGGCATCACATCTACTTTTAGATCTATGCATGTCCCCTCTCTTTTTCCTGTCAATAAAAAGAGAGAGAAAGTAGAGAGAGAAAGCTTAGAGAGAGATAGTGGCATGGCATAGATTGCTCACATGGGTGGGGTATTTGGTGCGTAGGGACCCAACCCCCAATCTGGCATTATATAAATGAGTAGGACCCGCTTGCAGCGTCAGCAATCCCATGTGACACTGTGCACTGCGGTCCCCACTCAGCTTTGGTCCTTAGGGCCCCATGTATCCCGCCAATTACAAAACATGAAAAAAAATAGAAAAAGCTTTTCACAAACGGACAACATAACAAAATAAACTTTGAACTCGTTTAGAAAGCACATGGATCCATTGGTTTTAATCCATAAAGTCTCATCATTCGGACTATTAAAATTTGATCGACTATAAATAAAAACTCATTTTAAAAGTTATAATAACTTTAACCGTTAAATCAAATTTTAAAAGTCTGAATTATAAGCCTTTAAAAGTATTGAGAGCATTTTTAGTAAAAATGTTTTTAAAACTAACTTTTGATAAAATATAAAACCAATTATTTTTGGTAAAAATATTTTTAAAATCAATCCTTAATGAAAACGCAAGTGAAATTTTGAGAAAACACTTTAAAACATCATTAAAAAATATATAACTGATGCTTCCTAAGAATATTTTCTCTAAAAACAATATAACAACTTACATGGAACTGATTCACTGTCTCATTACATGTAATCTAATAATCTTATGTCACATGAACAGGAGCTTAGACGTGCCTGGGATTAAACCGGAAGACCAAATGACAATAGACATGCATGAGATTAGCCGGAATACCACATGACAATGAATACGTTTCATGTAAAATCGTTAATACATATAAGGGCAATGACGGTATAGAAAAGAGTAAAGGGTATCAACTTGACTTGTTTCATTTCTGATATTGTTCCTAAACTTTTCTTACCGTTTGATAACAACTACAAGCAGCAGGAACACATGATTGATAGTGGTACAAAAAAATTTCCCAATATCTAACTGGAGCTCATCTGACAGTAATTTATCCTTCTTCCCGAGCTTTCCCTTCATATCAGTGAATCAGCCTTTGTAGTTACAAACTTACAAATTTACTTTTTACCTCTTTCTTTCTTCAGCTTATAGCTTCTTCTGGGTTCTTCTGCTTCTGCTGTACAAAGATTTTGATTACACTTGAAATAACAGAGACTAACAGTAACACTCGTCTAGCACTAAACCTTTAGGCAATTGTTTCACTTGGAAGGGTGAAAATTAAAATTACAGTGCCAAAAGTTACAACAAACTAACATTTTTTTTTTTTACCGTGTCTCCTTTTCTTTTAACCTGTGGTGCTTTGATTTCTTCCGACTTGATAAAGCTAGTGCAGAAAATGGGGGGAGTAGATGTGACCGAAAATAGTACAAACAACAAATAAAAGAAGGAAAAGGTTAATGGGGATGGGACGGGGACCCACTTCCTTCCTTTCACTGCCCTTTTTACGTATGCATTTTTGTATGGTAGTAACTAGTAAGTAGTATTGTTGGGTATTTGGATGGTGGTACTGCTGCTGCTGGCGGTGATGGTGGTGGTGGTGCTGGTGGTGCTGGTGGAGAGATTTGATATCATTTGATTCTCTACAGATTGTCGGGGGTGGCTTTTGTTTGGTTATACTTAAAACATGTTGACCCTCCTGCAAAAAAAGACAAATTAATCATATAGATTAAGTGTTTATCTAAACAAAATCTAATCTTAGGTTTGAAAGTAACTTTTACCTAATTAAGCTTGATTAGGAAGTTCCAACCGGGCATTTCGGCCCGGCTCCTGTGCCGGCGTACATCCCTATGGCTCCGTGGCCGGAGTTCAACCTGAAATGTAATTAAACCTTGCACGTTATATATATAATTCACTTCACACCGTGATGAAATGAAAAAAAATTGAGAGTACGACATTAGGGTTTACCGTGGAATTTGGCAGTTTAAAGACTTGAAGGATGCCATGTCCAGGGTGGAAGACGCTGGAAGAAGGGAATTTGCCACGTTAATATTAGCGGTTGCAGCTGGGGCATCGGAACCATTGGCCTCGCTAGTCCCATTGGGGAAGGCGGACAAGGCGTACCCTCCAGCGGCCTTTGTTGGAGATGCGAAAGGACTATCGGGAAGATTGTGCTCCAAGCTGCAGGAACTCAATTGTATAAGCTTCTTACACATTGTCCTTACAAATTTGAAATATGGGTAAACTTGATGCATAACCCGGCTTACCCTTCGAGCAAGTCACCAATCTCATCATGGGGGGTCTCCTTGCCACTACTATTGCCACTTTGGCTACCACTGCCATTTTCGTCATTGTTGGCAATTGAACCTTCACCTAGAACAGCGGCAGCTGCTTCCTTAAGCAGCTGATCGGCATCCACTGCTGGAGTCATGTGTGGCATCGGAGAAGAACAGTTATCTGCAATCAAGAACAAATAAACATTACCAACTGCATTGAACCATGACACGGTTTTGTGACCAGGGTATGAGTGACAAAATACGTACCGTGGGGAACTTCTTGGCCGCTGTGAACCGAAGGATGCACCAGGTTTTGATTGAACATGTTGGGAGACTGGGTAGGGGAGTGAATCGGACTGCTGGCAGAAAGCGTGCAGTGGTGATGCTTCTTGACATCAAGTAGCTGCAGGCCCATCAGTCTTCGACTTTGAATTTCAAGTGCTTGCTGCAACTCAGCTTGCTCCTCCAGCTTCCTTCTCCATAGCATATCTTGAGGATTGTAAAACATCCTCGGTCCTAAAATAAAAAACAAAATAAAAAAATAATTAAGCATGTGACAGAAATGGAATGCATATCGTCAATGTGTGAAAATTAATAAATATTACAATGTAAATATTTTTGTTTAATTAGCTAACCTAGTTGGAGATCATAAGGGTCTCTAGCATCCAGCCCAGTAGGTGTACCACAGGGAGACAAATCTCCTCTTTCTCCTTGTTGCTGTTGTTTCCTGGAAGATTAATAACATGCAAAGCAGCATTATTAGCTTATTATTCACTAAAATATAATTTAATTAAGGTAATGATATAATAATTAGTGGAAAAATTAAAACAAGATCAATTGAGAAAGTGAGAGTTCGTGTACTTTTCATGAACTTTGCCCTTCTCCTTGTAAGGCTTGACAAGCACTCTTGCATCACAAACAAAATGAGGGTTCCCTTTGGCCAAGATGAGCTTCACCGTCTCCGGGTAAACGAATGTAACGAATCCAAACATCCTCTTCTGCTGGTACGGGATTCGCACGTCTTGAACCGGCCCGTAAATACTTCATTGTTTGCCGATCAAGGACAACAGAAACAAAGGTCAGCAAAACGAAAACACCCCGTGACCTTCAAACTGACACTAAAACGGAACCAATAAAAAACAAAAGAGAAGAAATTAACCTGAAATAGTTTGAGACATCTTCCTCTCTGAAAGTGCTCTCGGCCGGGAAAGTCAGGTATATCTGCCTTGAAGCTGGGTTCACAATCCCCGCCCCGCCATTCATCGAAAAATCGGATCTTTCGAGGCGGGATCGGCTGAATTTGTGCATATCATCACCCATCAAGGCAGCTGCTGCAGCCCTACATGTACAATCAACAGAAACGATCAACTTACATGTAACGCAAATGATTAAAGATAAGAGCTTTAATTAATTTCTAAAAACAGATAATAACTTCTTTAAATCATGTACCTTTGGGCGTCAGTTTGTTGCTGCTGAAGAAGGAAGTTCATGCACTTGTAGGAGTACGGGAAGGAGTTGGCTGACGCCGCCATGAGCTGAGAAGCAGTAGCAAGTCTCTGCTGCTGAGCGGTTTTAGATCTAAGAAGTGCTTCGTGGTCCATCATCTCAAGCTTGCTCGGCGACCCAACAACCACCTGTCCACCGCCGTCGACGACGGCGTCTCCAAGCCCGCCGCCGTGCAAGAATCTGCAGCTGGCTCCGTTCTTGCAGTAGCCTCTGGCGAAATACAAGCAGGGTTTCCACCCAAACCCTGAGTTGGGGTCCTCCAAGCTCACGTCGCTGACTGAGCAACTTCGTCGGTGGAGCGGCCCACCACCGCCACCGCCTCCACCACCCCAATTAGCAGAGCCGTGGAAGGAGGGGAAAAGGTTCGGATCAGAAGCGGTGGTGAGACTGGGACTGGAAGACAAGTCGGACTGAGGGTAGAAAAAATCAGGCGACTTGGGTCCCACCATTGGTGGCGGACAGCCGTCGTTAAGGAAGGACAGCTGCTCTTGGAGCTGAAACTCATCCATCACATCAGTTGGAACTCCTCCATAAAAGCTGTTTATTTCTTCTTGGTTTCTGAGCTCGGAGAGAGCAGCCCAGGAAGCCGAGGAACAAGGGTTTGGGATAGTGAGAGAGAGCCTCGAGGCGGAAGAGCAAGAGTTCTGCCTGGAGATAGCAATGGGGTTTGTGAAGGGGGAAGGAGAAGGGGGGGTGGAAGGAGTAGAAGAAGAGTTCGATGATAAAGGCACTCCCAGCTCCTTCCTTGCCTTGAGAATGACCGAGTGGAGAAAAGCTTCAGGCCCAAAAGCAAGCCTTATCATTTCCTTCTCCCCATGGTCTTGTATCAGAAGTAGACCCATGATTTTTGAAGCATTTTCTGGGTCCAAATTTTGGATCCTTGAGAACACAATTCTTGTAGCTTCGTAGGAATCCATGGCGGATAGAGAAGTTGGGTTGGTGTGTGTCTTGGAACAGGAACTGGTACTTCACTCGCACCACCAACCCTAAAAAATTTCTGTGTTTCTTGGGAGGAACAAGTGAAAATTTCAATTTCTTTTGCTTTTTCCCAACCCTTTTACCTACCAACTTGTTTTTGTGATGAGTAGGAGGAAGAGTACAACAGAGAGAGAGAGAGAGATAGAGAGTAGTGTTCTCTTTCTCTTTCTTTCTATCTTAATATTCCTGCAAAACCCAAGAAAAATTAAATAAATAAACAAAGGTACAGAGAAAAGGAAAAAAATTATGATAAAAAAAGTTGAGTGTTAAAAGTAGTATTCTCGTGTGGTTTGATTGATTAAAAGGAAGCAACTAGTAGCTGAGGCTGAAGAGAGAGAGAGAGAGAGAGAGAGAGAGACCTTATTTCTCCAAAAAGCAATTGAAGAGGAGGAAAGTTGGGAGGACTCGTTAAGTATAAAGAAATAGCAACAAAATTGAAAAGTTTGAACTCAACTGAACTGAAATAAAATCCCCAACAAAATAATCAATTTTTTTTCGAAGTTTTTTATGCCAAATTGAAAGCTGAAACCAAAATCTGTGACTAAAGTAACGCTTACCCACGAAAGATGAAAGGAGTAGGAGTGTTGCTGCTGTTCTGGTTTCTGTGTGTCTTCCTGCAGCTCAACTACTTCAAACATATTATTTGCTATAAATTGTATAAAATCCCAATCTTATAGCTATGGAACATCCGAGTCAAACTTTTACTACAAAAGCAAACCACCGCCTTTTCTCTCTAGTTTTTAGGCCCTCTTTTGCCGCGGCAGAAGAACCATCAATTGCTTCACTGCTGCTGCTGCTGCACTGCTGGGATTTTGGGTTCTGAGCTTTTCTCTCTCTAGCTTTGGTTTGGTTTCGATTTTCTTCTCTCTCCTCCTCGTATCTCTCTCTGTTGGGTCTCTCTCTGAAGTTTATAGAGGACAAGGACCGAGTGATGAGAGAGAGTGAGTGAGTGTGCTGAGTGTCCGAGTCGAGTGCTTTGAGTGGGATCCAGATCTGTGTGCTTGCTTCAAATACTGCACGTATTCTTGCCCCTAACCTCTGACACTCTTTAAATTTCTCCCTCTAATTGTGTTTTTATTTCCCAACTCGAAAACAACCTGGTTTGACTCCACGCTGCTTGTGTGGGGAGGTCAGCACACGCGCCAATGGTGATCTTAAGGGATTCATCGAGGACAGTGGTTGATTGCAGTGTGGTTTGCACGCTCTTGGGGTTTGGTTTGTGGACGGATTCTATCTGTGTTTCTGTAAGTGAGTCAATGCCTCTATCTGTATTAATAAGATGAGTGATCCGCAAATGGGATTTTTCTGGGTATTATTGTTTGGAATTAGGTTAAAATAATTAAAAGCAATTTTATATTACAAAAAGCGTTTGTTATATGTTTAAATGAAAAAATTAAGTGCTTCTGGTTTGAAATAAACTCGCTTAATTAAAAATACTTTAAAATAACTTAAAATGCTTTTAAATTGTTAAAATTACTTTTGACTATATTTGGCAGAACAAATTAATATTTTTAGTGTAATGTTATTCATACTATATTTTTGTATTACATTTTCATATCACATTAGGTGGCATTTGATATGGACAGTCACATCATTAGAATTAATCATATTTTTAAATTTAGTTCATTATTTAATAAACTAATAATAAAAAAAACTAGTTAATTAAATGATGATTGTGGTATACGAGAAGTATTTCTCCTTCATTTCCTTGGGTTTTGCAAATTTTTCAAATGATGTGGCTGTCCACATCAGATGTCACCTAAGGTGATATAGAAATGTGGTATAAAAACATGATATGAATAGCATTACTCATATTTTTGGGTTAAAAAAGGTACTTGAAGTGCATTCTAGAAGAATCTGCGTTATTTGTTTCTTAAGAAATACTTGCATTTTTATTAAAAATTTCAATGTACTTCTAATAAAAGCATTTTTATTATAAATAAATTTAAACGAGTGTTTGTTAAAGAAATCATTTTAAACAATCTCCTTAAGTGAGTTTGTAGAGAAATATATTTTTAATAAGAGCGTTTCCAAACGAGTAAAAATATAAAAATTTGCCTTACAAAGTGTTTAAATTTTCTCTCATCAACCACATAATTAGGGGTCACTGGAGGTCATGTCTCACTCTCTTGAAAATAATTGATATTATGATGATGGTTTTTGAGGGGAAAAGATAGATCTCATTTCAAACAAAACAATCCAAAACGTATAAGAAGATGATTGGGCATGCCCAAGAAAAAGGCTTCTGAAAAAACCTCTCACAGTTAAAACCACTTAAAAAAAATATCAAGAAAAGAAAAAGAGATCAAGCATGCCAACATAAACAAAAACATACGCAAAAAGGGAGGATGGGTTGTTTATTTTTTGAGATTTTTTTTTATGGTGAGTGAAAACTACAAATGGTATGGGGATTTGTATATGATAGGGAAGCATGGTTCATGCTCTTGCATTTTTTGAATAAGATGCCCCACAAACAAATAAATGATGACTGAATCCTTCCCTTATCTCCTCTCCTTTTCTCACTGTCCAAGCACCCAACTCATATCACATTATAATTTTAAGAGGCAATGAGCCCCAATCATTTTCTCCCCCACCTTTTTATGTTCATTACTCAGTTATATGCACAAAGAAAGATAAAGGAGGGAGTACAAAATTGTTGCCTCTTGGTGGTGAGTAACAAAAGTAGTTGGGAATTGAAAAGTATAGCTTTTCATTAGAGAGAGAGAGAGAGAGAGAGAGGGAACCATGGAGAGCTTCCACATGGGGTGTATGGCCAATCTCATAATTCTACTTTCAAGCAAATGTTCATGTTATGAGGTATGCACTATGTATCCTATTTTTATTCACATGTGTGAGATTCTCAATTTGTACCATACATTTCAGAAAATTTAGATAACAGGATTAGTCCAGTGTTGAGGATATGGTGATGGATATGAGTAAGCTACATATTCAAAATTCAAAACTCTCATTTGTAACAAACAAAATTGACAAATTATGTCATCGTCAAATAGATTTGTTTGGTTTACTGGCCGTAACAATCACTTATACATGCTAATTTGTGAAACAATTACTTTTCAATACTCGATTCATGTATCTTCAATGGTTGATTGATATGTTGTATGTATTTGATTTTGACAAGTCTAGCAATTGAGATTTACAAATTGACCATTTCAGTCGATTTTTCAAATTATTAACACAATTATTCACGTAATTAGTATGAGACTTACAGTTTGATGACATAATAAATAAGTAAACTATTTAAGCAAATGATTACTAGTGAGGAAGGGTAAGTGATATTTAAAATTAAAATAAGTTTAGAGTTCAATTTTATGACGATTTAATTGAAAAAAATTATTAGACAATCGAACAAGAGATTCCTATCATGCATTCATTACCAATACCAAAAATGATGATAATCCTCTTACATGGAGTACTTTATGCTCCACGATATTGTCTTCTTTAATTTCGTAATTAATCGAAACATTAATCAAACCATTGAACCAAAATGAAAACAAAACAATTGCATGTTTTGAGCTATGTAATCACAACATTCTTTGCTAGTCAATTCCGCGCGTGACATCTTGAAGCTTAAACAAGCGCGTGGGAATAAATCCACTTTTCTTTTTTTTTTGGTCGAAATTTTTCACTTTGTTTCTCTAATCTAATGTATGATTGGCCATTGGGTCATGAATATATTTTTTTAAATAAAAAATTAGGGGTGGGCATGAGCAGGGTCAGATCCAAATTTGAAAGAATTGGATCGGATCTGTTTGGAAATGAAACGCGGTTGGCTGTTTTTCAAAATTGAAAATAGACCAACCCGACCCGTTTGTTCTAACGTTTCCATGGGTGTAGGGGTGGGTTCGGTTTAAATCGGTTCGGTTTTTTGCCAAAACCGAAACCAAACCGAAATTTCGGTTCGGTTCGGTTCGGTTCATTTTTTTTTCGGTTTTTTTCGGTTCGGTTTTTTTTCGGTTCGGTTTCGGTTTTTTGTTTTTTTTTTCTTTCAAAAAAATGAAAAACATTGAAATTTTAAATTTTAACACATCCAACACAATCATAACATAAGCATTCTAACTAGAATCAAAGACAATGAAAATAAACATTTAAAATTGAACTAAAATCATCAATCAAGTCTTCCAAAGTCCAAACTAACAACCTCACAACACAAAAATTGTACAAATGACTTAGAAAAGTTAAATTGTATGATGTTGTTCAAAGATCAAGGTTGTTTGCTTGTATTTGCATGTTGACAACTTGATTAGTAAAAATAATGCGTTGGTGGATTTATTTAGTGTGTGTTAGATTCTTTTCCATCACAAATTACCCAAGTAATCTACCCGAAATAAATGTTTATGGATTCTGTTACATGTTATATGAGAGTAGATTTGGAAAAGAAAGCTAGGGCAGAAGTAGGCAGTGCTATGGAGATGGATGTAGGTACTTCTGGAGGAGGTTTGGTTCCGTAACCTTATATGGGGGATAAATAATAGGTTAGGGTTTAGAGTTTTTATAGGCCTTTTTTAAATATTTTGAGCTTAAAGTTTGGCAACACATTGGGTTTAGCACATTTTAACTTACAAATTGGGTTTAGAAAATAATACCCAAAACAAATAATTAAATAAAAAAATTAATTTAATTAATTCGGTTCGGTTCGGTTTAGTTCGGTTTCTAGATCACTAAAACCGAACCGAACCAAAAGAATTCGGTTCGGTTCGGTTTTTTCAATTCGGTTCGGTTTTTTCGTTCGGTTCGGTTTTTTCGGTTTCGGTTCGGTTTGGTTTTCGGTTTTTTTCGGTTTTCGGTTTTTTGAACCCACCCCTAGGTCCATGTCATTGTGCAACCTGAAAAACCTGATGCGGAGAATTGTCTGAACCTAGTTTGGGAGTGAGGTGCTTAAAAAAAAAAGCACCCATGAAAAAAAGCTGTGAGGGTTTTAGGTGTTTGGTAAACTGAAAAAAAATGGCTTATTTTGGAAGCTGCTGTGAGAATAAGCTGAAATCAAAGGAAAAAGCTGAAGCTGCTATTTGTAGCTTTGGAAAACTGGCTTTTTTTCAAAGCACTCGAAGCTACAGTGCTTCTTTAATGAAAAGATCAACTATAAGACTGCTTTTTTTTTCCAAAAGCACTTTTACAAAAAAGTTTACCAAACACTCTGCTGATTTATTTCACAGCCGCTTATTCTCACAGCACAGCCGTTTATTCTCACAGCAGCTTTTTTTCAAAGCACAGCAATACCAAACCAGCTCTGAGTAATGCTTGAGTTTATGTTCTATTTCCTCACTCTACAAATTCCTACTAAAACCAAAATGTAGAAAAACCTAAATCAGTGAAAGAACAAAAAAAAAACTCAAATCAAACCCAAACCAAACCCAAACCAAACCTAGGATCAACGGAGACCCTGATTGACGAAGATGGTGGTCAGGTGGTGGGTGGGAGGTACCTCAATCGACGAAGATAGTGTTGATGTGGTGGGTGAGGGACCTCGATCGACAGAGATAGAGATAGAGAGTAGAGAGAGAGACACAGACTGAGAGAGAGAGAGAGAAGAAAATGTGATATCTATATGATACGTGTGGAAAATCACAATCAATGATAGAAACTGTTCGTTAAATTAATAAATTTATTTATTCCCAATACTATTAATTTATAAGGATTTAATTGTACAAATATATATGTTCCATCCTTAACTTGGTCTAGGACTTGCTCTTTAGAGCTAGAGTTTTCAAAATTGAAGTAGTAAATGATTAATTTTAATGTCAATTTTTTTTTATTATTATTTTTTGGTCCTTGGTGGGAATTGGAAAAATAAATTAAAATGCCATTAAATCAGTATCATATGAAAAGCATGATTCTCTCTAGAGCTTAAGAGACTGAGCCTCCTGAGCAAATCTATCGAACCGTTGAAATTTGATCCAATAGCTACAGTTGTTATAACTTTTAGAGAGGCTTTCTGTTTGTAGCCGTTGGATCAAATTTCAACGGTCTGATGGATTTGCTCAGAAGGCTGAGCCTCCTGAGCTCAGGAGAGGATCCTAATCCCAAA